CAAGCACACACATACATACACACTGACCAACAGTCAAATGTGAACAAAAAGAAAAAAGATATTATTACTTATTGTTTTTCATATTCATTTTGTTACCATTCAAATAATGCTTACTTGAACCCTGATTGGGAGAAGTCACATTGGTTTTCACCAGATGCTTAAAACAATTGAAAGGGTGAGTTAGGGGAGGTGAGGTCCGTCTGCGCAGGGCGAGACTCACACAGGGACCGACTGGACACAATGACAAAGGTGACCCAGAAGACTTCTGGGCTGCCGCAGTCGTCATAATATGATTCAGCAGAATAAAACATCAACTGCAGTGCCTCCAGGATGAGGTTCCTTCAGCCTGATTGTAAACCACACACACACGAACACACACACACCTTAAGTTCCCCAACTCTTAAAGTACAGGGTACCCTTAATTTAATATTGCACAAACTACAGCAAAGCAGGCAGCTTTCCAACAGAGTGAGTCATTGACGCTCATCTTAAGAAAGCCATATCCATCAAGGAAAACTAGTGAAGAAAGAACGGGGCTGAGAGTATGACAAGGACAAACAATATCAACAGGCTCAGAAGAATATCTTGCTAATCCCTTGGCAAACAGGTGCAACCCCTTCAGCCAATAAAGCTTTCAGTTATTTACAAAGTAAACAGAGAAGTGAAGGCTGCGGGTGACAATGATAAATTTGGGGGAACACACCCAGGAATAAACATCTCAAAGAAGATGGAGTCCAGGAGATGGATGTGTCCAGCGACACAGACTGATAACAGGACTGAGAGTCTACAGCCATGATAGCAGCTCTGTAAGGCTGTACTGAGACACATGCTAACATCAGTATGCTAACGTGCGCGCTATGACAATATTGATGTATATCAGGTATGTTTACCACAGTCACTATATTAGGTTAGCGTGTTAACATGCTAACATTTGCTAATTAGCGCTAAATAAAAAGTACAGCTGAGTCTGATTTGAATATCATTAGTTTTGCAAGTATTTGGTCGTGAACCAAAGTATTGAACTAATCAAAATTTTGACCCGAGGATGGTGCTAGAGAAAACATTAAGGGATCACCAAAGCTATTATAATTCCTCAGGGGGGAAATGATTGTCTGTACCAAATTTCAAAACAGTCACTCCAATAGTTGTTAACATTATTCACTAAAAACAAAAAATGTCAACCTCATTTTGGTGCCAGAAGTAAAGTCACCAATCTCAGTATGGCTCATCCTCTGGGGACCATGAATCTCTGTCCAATATTTCATGGGAATCCATCCAGTAGTTGCTGAGATATTTCAGTCCGGACAAAAGTGGCTGACCAGCCGACAGAACAACATTACCATCCCTAGTCATGCAGCCAAAACACAAATTGGCATTTAATGCAAGAGAAATTTGCAGAAACTTTCCAATACTCCACAGACTGAACAGTGAAGGGATAGATATCGAATACACTGGGGAAAGGTATCATTTATGTAACCAAAAAGTCTGTTTTGAGAGCCTTTATTCAGTGGCAAAGTTGTGAGCAGTGTTGGCTGTGTCTGTCAACTTGAATTAAAGCTCAGGAATCAAACTGTAATTATCCACACCTGCAGCTACCAGTTGGCTTCACTAGGGAACGGAGCAGCGATGAAAGATTGGACACAAGGAGAGCAAGTGCACCAAGTGGAGCAAGTCTGAAAAAAAAAGTCTTGACTGAGCATCTGCAACGCTGCCATGCCGTATTCATGAGCTCAGGATTGTTGAAGGTCATTGCTGACAGTGTTGGTGCCAACAAAACGCAATAAGTTTAGAGGCGTGAGACAGGTGGCAGTATAATAAAACTGGGATTTGGAAATTGCTTTCTCCTTTATACTGTTTGGCTCTGAGCTCACTATCCGTTTTAATGGTGCTGCTGTTTGACTGCTGGCAGTGACAGAACATAATGTTTGGGACTCCTGATTATTTTATGGAGTGTGAAACTTTCTTTCTGATGAAGTATGTCACACTTTGTTTTCTAAAGTTTGATTTTGAAATTGTATCTTATGAAAGTATACAAATTATTACATTTGATATTTCATATACTTTGTATATGGCATATTTCTTGCAATATTTTAGAGGTACTAGTTACCTTTATGGAAGATTCATGACCTTGAGCATGACTGCTCATGTAGTGTGTTTTTATCTAGACAAATTTTGACACCTCTGCATTTGTACTCTGATTGTAAATTACTGCATATTTGTATATGCATTCCATATAAAACATGAAATATTTCCTTATTTGTTTTAAAACAATGCTTTATGGTCAGTGTGTCAAATGTGCAAGCTCTGTTTATGGTAAAAGGAATAGTTACTGCTTATCTACATACTGGGGTTTAGTAAGGTCAGAACAAAAGAGAAAGGTTGATTTAGCAATTATTATTATGTTTACATATACAGCACTCAGGTCTATTGGACCCCAAACTATGGGGAAGAAAAGCCAATGTCAACAAAACACAAGGGATAAACAAATTACATGTAGAAACATTTAAGATGAGTCTGTATCCCAAAGCACTCCCACCCTCCAGTCTACCTGGAGGATCAGTGGCATCACACTGTGCCTCATGTTACTAAAAATAAAGCCATATCCCCCAGTTTACAGGGTTACTGATGACGAAGCATTGTAAACCAAAGTAGCATAGTAATTTATCACTCCTTGAGCAAGATGTAATCCTGGTGAAAGGAAATGGCAGAGGTATTGTGTTGACTCATCACCTGCACACCTGCACAGTCAAACCACATTTGGTTTTCACAGCTTGAGCAGCAGCGATCGCCCACTGATTATGTTCCTAATTTTGACTGACAAGTTTTTATCCCTGCCCATCATTCTCAGGGTAACTAATGACGGACGGTGCTCCATGTTTTCTATTATTCTTAGCAAGTACTACTTCTGCAAATAGTGTGTCCCCCAGGTCCAAGGAAGCAGATATTGCTCCTTTCTGACCACCTAATGGGAGTGTAATGTGCTGTGACAATGCAGGCAGTGGCTGTCAAAACAGTGGGCCCTGTTCCACGGTTGGCCAATTGTTCTGAAGGGTGCTGGACTGGATCAGTGCATCGCAGCAGCCAGCACCGAGGCTCACACGGAGCACACTTTCCAGAACACACATACAGCACACTGTGTGCGGCCCAGACTGGCTTACAGAGACACTGGACCGGAGACTAACCCGGTGTAGATTGGACTACAATTACACTATCTTTCAGTTTCTCAGTGGTGAATGGTGATCAGGTTATCATTGGCATAAATCAAAACAAGCATCAAAATACAAGACACTATCAAATTATAGCCAGACAAGAGAAAATAAAACCCACTGCAGGACCAACAAGCATGGGTTTTGATGTGGCCAGCACTGATGTCTCAGCCAAAAAACAATCAGCTGTTAGGATTTGCTTGCTCAGTCTAACCTGACAGATATTTGAAAGGCGAGTCCTCATTTAGAAATAAAAACTAAGCCACTGCAGTAAAAAAACTGACTTACCAACAGGATTATGCTTCACAGGTCTTTAAGAATGTAAAAACCCAGACAGACAGTTACAGTAGAGAGTACACTAAGGAAGAGCAGATGCCTGTGTGAGTGGCTCTTAATGGCTGACGGTATTCACGTTGCTGCTTTCTGACTGTTTTATTTACGTTACAGAAATATCGAGCTGAGCTGAATGCGCCTGACAAGCAGGGCAGCTACCAGTACACTCTGTGGTGCTCTCAAGCACTCAGGGAAGAGATAATGTCTAATCTGCTTCTACAGTATCTCACAGTGGCAGATCAGACCATCATCTAATATCACACCCACTCTCTGTGATGCACAGTCATTCGTAGGTTCTGGGAACAACAACAAGAACGCAGAGAAGGCCTTGTTATTTTGTTTCGCTTTCCGTGTTAAAGCAAAAAAAAAAAAAATGCATCTGTCTGTCTGACTGTTCCCAGATATGCAACCTATTGTTCAGCCTCATGGACTCACATAGAAGCAGACAGACTCTTGGTTAGAGCTCCGACCATACCTGCTGTTGAGCAACACATTGTGTAGTAACACTGTTGTGTTGGCCGGCCTCCATGTGACAAGCAGACGCACCTGACGTCTCCATCCTGGTCTGACATTTCAGCCTGCCACCAGGAGTCTGGTAGCTGACATACAAACACACAAACACGCGCACACGCATGCGCGCGCACACACACACACACACACACACACACACACACACACACACACACACACACACGTGCACAGGTACATAGAGGAAAACAAGAGGAACAAAGAGAGGAGGATGAGAGCCCTACATCCATCCTCTGTGTCCTCCACTTCATCTCCAAACCCTGAAATCACAGAGAGGACATCGCCTCTCCCCAACTGCTGCTCACCCTTTCAGGTACTCCTCCCTTAATTTTCACCGGTACTATAATCATCATTAAAACTATCATCATCGTTATTATTGTTATTACATTTTCAAAAAGTGCAGATAGAACTTCCCCGTGCCCTCGTTCAGAAGGCAGGGCAGTAAAGGAGGATGGGGAAACAATGGCAGTAAGAAGAGCAAGAAGAGCGCAAGATGAGAAAGAGAAAAGAGAAGAAGATTTCTGCCGAGTCTGAATTGGTGTTGCTCCTGTGAACACACACACCCACACACACGCACACACGCATGCGCACACACACACATATACACGCGCACGCAGGCACACAGCAGTAACGCAGCACACCATACAAGTCAAAACTGCTGGGGATCGACCCCCGTCAGCACAAAACAAGAGCACAGGGCAGCACAAAGAATTCATAGCTTCGATAAACAGACAGAAGTGTGCACACACAACTGAATGCGTGTGCACCAACAGCACAAACTTTGCTTTTTGCTTCTGTTTTCATCTTAACATTGGAAGAAGATTTAAATTGGTTTCCTCAGTTGGTGATGCTGTGAAAAATGACATCATCGTATCTTGGGGAATTTTTTTTTTTTTTTTTTTTTTTTTTTTTTAACATCTTCTTTTTTCTCTCTCCATGTCAGGGCTTTTTTGTCTGGAAAAATCAGGAGCGATCCATTTCATGAGTTTATTGTGTTCCCGCTTTCCCAACATCGGAAAGTTCAGTTTATTTATTTATCTTTTTTTTAATCTCTATTTTTGTTGGAGCTACAGCACAGCACCCACAGCACACAGACGACAAGGGGGGTGGGGGTCCAGAAAGGAGGGATTCACTAATATTGTGCCAGAGGAAGAGAAAGAGGGAACAATAAGGAGGAAAAAAAGAAGAACATAGAGAAGAGGAAGGAGAGAGGGAGACAGCAGTATCAACAATTCCATCTTGAGTTCAGCTGGTTTCATCACAAACGGAGTATTGATTGCTTTCGACAACTTCAGCTGAACATTAAACCACTTTTGAGTTAAAGTAGGGAGGACTGAGATGGGGGACAGGATATTGTACACTTAAGATAGATGACAAAGACGAGGTGACAAATGAAGAGAGGAGAGAAGGGAAACAGCAGACAGGCTATGGATAACATACTGTATACTAGTCATGTGTATAGGGGGAGTTCTGCCAATCTATACGCCTAATATATTAATATGTATATGTACATACAGTACATACTGTATAGCATTGTGTACCTGGAATAGTCATACAATAGGATTATATGAGATTAGATCGTTATTTAAGGTTCTCTGTGATCCCACGGGACTGGCACCTTAAATGGGTCAGGGGCTGCAGTGCAGTTCAGAACCAAGGGGTCGACAAAGAAACTGAACATCAGACCTCCACAGGCAAAGTGCATAAGGACAGACAGACATACAGACAGTCAGAAACAGGGGGACCATTGGCAAAGTGGTGAGACATAGAAATTAAGACACGGCTGTATGAGAGTTGGGAAGAGAAGAAGAGAGAAGAGTCGGAGAGGAGTAGAGATTTTGAAAGAAAGGAGTTTAAAGGTTTAATAGAGCAGATGGCTAATTGTACCCGTGTTTCGCAGCCTGGCAGCAAGTCAGTCTTGTGCATAAGGACGGGAGTGGGAGGAGGGGACGGGAGAGAGGAGTGGGAGCGGGGTAGGAGACGGGAAGGGGCCATGGAGGGAGCTGGGCGGTGCGATCAGGCCTTAAGAGCGTGCCACTGGGCGACGTTAGTACGCGGCCGAGCGAGCATGTCTTTCCAGTGCTTCACCTCCGCTGGTCCACTCTTCCACGATAGATAGATCTGAGAGAAGGGAGGAAGAGAGGGGATGATGATGTAGACAGAGTCCTGTCAGACGCGGAATAGGAAACATTGCTGGTTTTATCTACTGTATCTGATAAAGTAAAGACATGCCGTTTTTATTCAGAAATGACGAAACAAGAGGAAGATGTTCACATGATATTCGGCACCTGATGCACACAAGGCAGCAGTGTCAGCGCTGGAGAACAGCATCACTGATGCATTTTAAAATGAAATTTGCTGTTAAAACCTTAATCAATGACTGTCATGAATGTAAGGGACACTTTGCGCTTCACTCTTCACAGCGAGTTCTTGAATAACTTCATTATTTCATTTCACTCAGCCAATTCTGCTGCCTATTCTACCAAGTCGGACAGTGCACAAACACAGAATGACAAGACGTTAAAGGATAGTTCATAATAGTGGATGAGAGATCATTCAGCAGCCAAACCATGTTTGTACTGTAAATATGTAGCAGGAGCCAGCAGCCAGTTGGCTTAGCTTAGCATAAAGACTGGAAATGCAGACTGATCTAACCTGAATTTTTTCAAATGTTCTGAAGAGATCATAATTGAGTGATACATTTATTACAGTGGTCTGTAAGGCCAGCATGACATGCATCTGCTGTCTCTGCATGTTTGATGCTGGCGCTGCTTTAATTCAGTGTTGTCCCGAGATGGAAATGCTACGGAAAAGTTGTGACCAAGGGCAACAAGACTAAGTTGACAAAGTGTTACCTTGCCGATAACGTCATTGCGGCTGAGCCTGTCCTTGTCCATGACGGTGATGATGATGGTGGTCTCCCTCAGCACATGGGCGGGGACGTCGAAGGGGAAGGACTCATTGAAGACAGGGTTCAGACAGCGCTTCATCGTCACCGTCTTCTTCTTCTCTACACGCTTGTCCTTGTGCATCAGCCACACCTTCACATATGGATCTGCAATATGGACGGAAAGTGCAGCAGTTTACATGAGATGGAGGATGAAGATGCACATTGAGGGGGATTTTTAGGGTCAGGTTTGCAATTACCCTCTTAATTGTTAAAGTCAGGGAAGGCAGCAGGGAAGCAGATACCTAGTTTGAGCTCAAGGTCAACTTATCCCTTGAGCTAGGAAACATACAAATGAGGAAGTATTTATGGAAATAGGGCCTGGGATTTGTACTACCAATTCTGGAGCATTATCATACTCTGTAATACTAACAGCCACCGCTCCTGCTGTGGCAGGAAGAGGTAATTTTACAAAGATATGCCACAGAAAGCATTTCACAGTGAGACCTGATACTTTGAAAACTAGCACCAAACTGGGCTGACACAGATTTGGCTGGGAGGCTGAAGATCCTCATAGATATACAGAAAGAGACAGAACAGGATAGAGAGAGGGCAAGGGAGACACACTTGACGTAGTGTCACCTTGCTGCCGCAGCTATCTGCGGTGCGACCCGGCTCAGGAGCCAGACGGCAGCCGTCGTCCGCACGGACAGGTCAGGAAATGTTTGAACACAGAGCCAGAGCTGTGTGTGAAGCCACAGAGCTTCCAATGTCAGAAGAAGGGCTTCAGACCGGTGGACAAGGGCTAGAAAGAGAAAAGACTAAACAAACGAGGAGGAATCTCTACCTGAGGTGCCCCCGATATCCATGGCTTTGAGATTGCGCGCTTTGATGATGTTCACAGTGATGGTGTTGGCAGTGGGATTATAGCAGAGTGACACCAGCAGGTCTCCCCGTCTCCCCTGAGGAACACACACACACACACACACACACACACACACACACACACACACACACACACACAATGGAGTATGATTCGCTCACTCTAATATCACATTTCATCAGGGAATATCAAACTCAGATTACTCACTATTTTATTGTGTAATCTTACATCGCTGCCCTCTCTGCTCTAACCCCTTGTGCCAAACACAGATGGTCCAGTGACCAGGGTGGCTGAGCTGAGCCTGTTGCTCACCCTAAAATTACATCAATCAAGCTCACATGCTAAAAGTAGTCAACGAATGGCATCAAACTCGTATTCAATAAAACTGTAATCACAACATTTGAATGAAAAAACTGGATTTGTCATCATTCAGCCTGATGACCTGATGGTCATCCCCTCTCTCTTACACTGCCATCACTGCAGGGCTTGAGCTCCTTCCAGAAGGTCTTTATCTGGCCCAGTTCCACCTTGTTAAGGGGGATTGACACTTCTCCAATGGGGTCATTCCTGCTGAAGCGGTCGTAGTCCAACACCTGAAGGTAAAGAGTGCGCTCTCTCACCTTCTCATAAGGGAAGCCTAAAACAGAGGCAGAAACAGATAACGCTGAGGAGTGAGCTTAGTTACAGAGAGTGAAAAAATATTCCTGACAGTGTAGAGAGAGCAGTGTAATCTGCACCGTGCTAACAGGGATGAATTTGGCAAAGGCCAAAGTGCATTTCAGAAACGGCAGGACCTGCCAGCGCTCTCTCTCAGATGACTGAGACGGATCATTATACTCCAGTCACGAAGACCTATCACATTCATTTTTCAAGAGCACTGGCCATTGTTCTAATTTTGGAAAAGGTTTGAGCCTTTTGAACATTATTTTGGTTAATTTAACACTGCGCTGTCATCTGAGCACGATGGTCCTAATGAAACAAATTCAGATCATACAGGTGTGTGAAACCTCATCGCTCTGTGACGCTGCTACTAAACATCTGCCATTGACAGAGCTCAAGAATATTGTAGATTTTTTTTTTTTTTTAAACAAAAAATGACTGCAGTGTCTTGAGCTGGAGGTTTTATCAATGCAAAAAATTTTGTTCTATTTTCACACATTCATTGTGACTTGTCACACAACTCCCACGATGCTCTCTGAGCGCTGAGAAACATTGTCATTGCTATGAGAGACTTTACAGATTTCGGGCTTGTGAGTGAGCTTATTCGCTCTCTGGTTAAATGAGAAGCCACTATTACATCTGTCTGTTAAATATAAGGCTACAGCAAGAAGCTGGTTAGCTTAGCTTAGCATAAAGAACCGAAGCAGACCTACGTTTTTACACTTCGGTTTTTATATGGATTGCACAAATGAGACATAATGTGTTCATTAGGCTTAGAGGTGCTGGTACATGCATTTTCTTACCTTCAAACAGCCAGGATAGCTATTTCCAGCTTTCCAGTCTTTATGCTAAAAGAAGCAGCTCCTGACTGTTTCTTCATAATTAGTAAAACCTTTCCGAAATGCCCCACTATTGCTTTAAAGAGTTATGCCAAGCTGTCGAATCTGTGGAAACCAACCCTCTCAAGCATAGCACAGAAGCACAGATCATTTTATATAAGAATGTTTAAAGCCCCTGAAAACCTATTCTCTTCATTCAGCTTCATTCAATGAGCAATGGGGTCTCATATGAACACATAATTATCTGCCAAAGTGTGAACAGTTGTGGTTATTTCACATGAGAGATTTGTGCACTTCTATTTTCATTCGTACTATTCTCACTAGTTTCAAGTGGAAATCTGATGAAACAACACCCACACAGTCCAGATGCAGCAGCTTATCAGAGTTTTTCAGTGTTTTACTGTTAAATTATAGCAATTGTTTTAGCTTAAATGTTCAGAGTTGCTTATTTAGTTATGAATATTTCATGTTATAGGGATACACTTATGATATAAAAACAGGTTTTCAGGAATTTTTATGGGTAAAATGGCAAAATGTAACGGAAAGTGTGTAACAACAACAACAATAACAGACAGGTCTCTGATGAGTAGCTGAATGGAAATAACACAGACCTTCAAACAGGAAAGTTTCGTTCCAATGGGGGTTGAGGTTCTTTCTCTTGACCTTGGTTTCCAGCTTGTGCTTCTTGTCAGGCAGCAGGTAGATCTTGACGAAGGGGTCGGAGGTGCCGGAGAAGTCCTTGGCCGGGAGTTCCTGGCCCCTGAGAACTTTGACGGTGAGAGTGGTGTTCTGGAAGCTGTAGCCTATGCTGAACTGGATCCGGCCTAGTTTCTCACTGATAGGCCCTTCACCGTCATCATCCTCCGACCCTGGAGACAGCTGCAGGGCCACCATCGAAGTCACATAAATATGAACACTCATACATGCAACAGCAGCAGCGGCAACCACTCACACAAAAGGTTCAGTCTAAGAACACACACTTTTTGTGACACAAGCACGTGCACTCAGACCGTGAGGAGGAGGAGGAGATTTTAGAGCTGCATTTCTATCCTGGCATATAGAGGCAGCTGCTCAAAGGCAGAGATTGGTCTGACATTAAGAAGAGTGAGAGAGTTTAATTTCCTTACTAATGTTCTTAAGAGGCAGGAGGTGCTCAGATTGTAGATAGGGAAGATTTAGACCACCCAGTCTCTCTCACAGCCACTCTGACTGCTTTATCATGGCTGTGTACTAAAAGGCCGCTATCTGATAGAAAGCAGCAGACAGAGAGAGGGAAAGGGAGAGCAAGAGACAAAGAGAAAGTGCAGGAGAGAGAGAGAGAGAGAGAGCATTGAATGAAGGGACATGGAGAGAGCGGCCAGGGAGGCACAGCTCAAGGTTGCCTGTCTTCACTGGCAGCTGTGTTGTGTTTATGGTTGTTTCTTTTCTCCCTGTTGCTCCACCGTCTGTCTCTGTCCTTTAATTTTCTCTCTGTCTCTCTCTAACAATAGCATTCATTGGAGCGAGGCAGTTGAGGACTTTGAAAGAGATAAAAACAAGTAGTTCATGAGACCAACTTTGTGCAAGAGCCTCCACTGACACTTTGAAGAAGACTAGCCTGAGAAGTGGTTTGCATGCAAACACTCACTGGGAGCATTACCTGAAATAGCTGATTTCAGAATTTCAAAGTGACAAAGACTGACTCACTCAGAATTTGTCAACATGGGTTTCAGAACTGTGTGTGAAATATTCCAAGTCTAATTTATCAAACAGTGTGAGTCACCTTGGATGGCTTGTCTCACTTGATTGCCACTGTGGGAACTGGCTGTGTATTTTTTTCTATAATGACTCCGTTATTACCATGTGCAGCTGTAAATCATCCTGTGCATGGAGGATGACTCGGCAGCACGAGCCCTTCCAGCTGACCAAGAATTACCTCATGGTCAAAAGTATGTGGACACAAATACCGTATGTGATCACTGAACATTTCACTCTCAAACCACAGGCATCAGTGTGATTCCTCCACTCCTCTGGGACGTCTTTCCACAACATTTTGGACTCTCGCTGAAAGGATTTGCTTCCATTCAGCCGCAAAAAGCATTAATGAGGTCAGACACTGATTTTGGCTGATATAGCCTGCTGCACAGTCAGCGTTCTGATTCATTGCCAAAGGTGTTGGACGGGGGTTGAGCTCAGGACTCCAGTCCAGTCCAGTCCAGCTCTTCCACGCCAAACTGGAACGGTCATGTCAAGGTCAGTTTACTTATCAGGAGGAGTTCTACTCATCCTGTGAAAACAGCTGTAAAATGTATTCTGTGGCTCTGGATGGAGCTTTCAAAGGTCTGAGAAAATAACCCTGATGTTGGCTTCTGGGTTATTTCTAGACTTGGGGTTTGAGACTACAAGTTTGAAACTGAAAGTTTTACTTATCTGCCCTTGCTTTACAAACTGTAGGATGCATGCATGTGGGATCCAGTGGTTCTGGAGCTTGATCCAGGCTAGTTGTTAAAAATCTGAATATATAATCTTCACATCTGTTACAGTTTTGTGAACTGAACAGTTTGTTCAGTTTTGACCAATCAATTTTAAATCTGTCTCCCCAAGAGTTCCCCAGTTTTATGGAAGATCAACACTGGTGTGTCCCTTTAAGATTTTCTGGGGAAATACTCGATTTTTCATATTGTCAACAAATCCCATGACAAGCCAAAAAGTAGCAATGACTTGAACCTACTGACAAATATTGTCAGTGTAGGCAAAGCCTGATATAAATGATCCCTCTGTGCCACAGAGCTCCACTGTTGTGCAACAGTTACTAAAACCACAGAAATGGGCCACGTTATTGTAATGGGTGATTTTCCTTCAATAGAGGGAATTGAGGCAATCCCACAAACATCGTACTGGTGCCATAATTACCAACTAGTGCGTATTCTTCCACAACCAAAAATAGTCTCAAACAAATTTGCTATTTCCTCCTGTTTCAGTAACATTTCCCTGCCTTATCCGATACCTGGAATTATGGGGCCCGAAAAAGATTAGGACACAAATACAGGGGCGTCCACATACTTTTGCCTATATCGTGTACACCGAGAGTTATCAGCGTAAGTGACAGTGGGATTGATGAGTGGTGGGACAGAGGGTCTTACCATCACCATGTCTCCGGTGAGAGAGTTGGCCAGGTCAGTGACGGAGGAGTGACCGTCAGCATCAGGGGGTTGACCCTTGGGGCTGTTAGCTGGCTTGTTGCCCCTGTAAGCAAAAACACAGTTTGACGCAGAGGGAAAAGAGCGAGGACACGTGCTGAGAAGCTAACTCATCTCCAGAAAGAGAGAATGTCTGAGCACACAGGGAGTCCAACCTCCACCTGTTTGGCGCTAGAACATCGTCTATCTGAAATGACCAATTGAGTCCAAGTTTGCTTTGGACAGAAGTCGCTTCAAAGTAGATTGTGCTTTCTCTAGCTATCATGAGCGATGCCAAATAAAATCTGCCAGAGATTCCACAGATTAACGTCGGGCGTTAGAACTGAGGACATTTGATGCAGTGGGTTGTGTTTGATGAAACTTGGAATCTGAGATGACTATACATATGTCCAGTGTGGCAAACATCCATATCTCTAACAGGAAAGTTACCTCCACTAAGTAAACAAACACATTTTCAGACAGAACACAAAACAGAACCACTAAATTTAAAATTGATAGAAACCCATTAATTATGTCCAATCCCAAGAGGTTTATGATCAACCCTTAGTCCCTCTAAAGACATTAACAAGACACACATGTATAATGACATGTATAGCAACAGGACGTTACTATATATACAGTAGACAGACATGTATAGCAACATGTAGAGGACCAGACGTTTAACAGGACAGATGTTATAGTGTTTGTGTGTTTAAATCTCTCAGTTATTAACTTTGCATCAACACAAAATATTGATTAAAAAAAAAAACATAAAAGGAGAGAGCAGAGATCTCCCATGGCACAGCTGATACTTAGGTACAATTGTTAATAGATGTTAAGTTTAGTTCCTTCACATGAGGATCGTTGAAAACATAACATTAAAGTGGGAGAAAAACCTCTATGTTCATACATCATGATAACAACAAGAATCACAAAGTGTAAAGAAAAGGAAAACCGGCAAAAGAAGACAAAAAATTAAAAGAGGATAAATATTATGAGATCAAAGGAATCATGAGAGAAAAGATAGAACAAGAAAGAGCCAAATGCAAAAGTCCTGGCCAATGCAATATGACACATTGGACACACAGCACTCCATAGATGACTGCTCAAGGCACATGGAGAGGCTGAACACTGAAACACCGTTAGGCAAGAAACAAACAGTAAATAGAGACGAAAGACAAGAACAGAAACACAGAGAAAGAGAAAAGAAACGAGCAGATGCAGAGAGGATGCTGCAGACGCACAAACTGGACAGAAATCATAAAGACTGTAGATAAGATAGAAGGTTTAACAAGGAATGTAAGAAAGAGAAAAGCAAGCTGAAAATTATTTTTTCTGTATTAGAAGAGATAGCAAGTATTAATAGCATGAACAGTGAGGTTACAAAAAACCAAAACCAAAACAGAGTGAGATTGTTACAAACACCAGCACATTAGAGAGAAAAAACAGAGCTGCAAGAAAAGATAGGGAATGAAGGAAGGAAAGCCTGGAAACACAAGAGAGGCTTAGTTTGGTCAGTCTGATAAGTATCAAAGAATAAGAGACAAAAAAAAATAAAGAGCTATGCACACACAATATTTCTAACAGGAGACAAAGGGGCGAACATGCTAGAGGGAGAAAAAGAGCACAGAGAGGAAAAGAAAAAGACAATAAATACAATTGATCACAAGGAAAAAGAGAGAGAGAGAGAGAGAGAGAGCAAGAATCGTCGTTCTTTAAGTGGAGAGCTCAAAATAAACGATAGATGAGATATAGAATGAAAGAGAAATAAGGGGTAGATATACAATACAAAATATAATATCATTGAAAACACAAAAAGGGACAAATAGTAAGAACATAGGAAGTGCACATTTAGAGTGTTACAGAAGAGGGCATTGTTAAATAGAAGATATAACTACAAATGATACAAGTTCACTTTAAGTCTAACCTGATTTTCCAACCAATTAGCAACACTCTAAAAGTGTGGACTGGGGACACAGGGGCCAAAGCACAAACGGGCATTGGCTACATGTGCATATATAATATATGCAAGTAGTTGTCACTCAGAGAGTGAAGGCAATGCCTTGGACAGGCAGGAAACAAGTAGCCCATTGAAAGTCTGTCTGTCTGGCCAGCATTCTTCTGTTGAGCTTTTCACTGAGAGAATGTATGTCTCATGGGTGGCACTTTTTTGTTGGGCGCTCTGAACTGCAAATTTGGATGAGAATTGATGTTGAATGCAATAATGTGTACATTTTTGCAGAAGACAAGGACAGAACCAGGGGAAAATATACTGACAAATAGACAGACAGAAAAAGCAAGCAAACAAGACAAGCAAACAGACAATCACTTCAACCAGCAAAGGAACCAGAGCGAGACGGGGGGAAGGAGGGATGTTAACCATTTCGAGAAGGGAAGGGACTATTTATCAATTGGTGTTAGTTGTATTAGTTGCCAAGGGAGGAGGTAAATGCATTTTCGGGGGGCCTGTTTTTTTGCACAGACTCTAAACTGCAGGCAACAGGTTTGAGAGGTGAGGAAAAGGCTGGGTAAAAACACTTAACCAAGATCTGACGATGAGCTCAAACGAGCTCTGAAGCTAGGAGAGAGACTTATGGCTTGAAGTAAAGCAAGGCACCTCCCTCCTCCTCCACCTCCCAACTATTGATGGGGGAGTGAACGTCTTCAATTATTCATTCTGCTTCATGCTTCATTCAGGGGTTCAGTGCATTCTCAGGTAAGAGCTAGTGCAGCCAGGGGAATGGCCTTTCTACCAGCCCTGCTCTACAGCACCTGAGGTGGTCCTCTGCTCCAGCGCTGCCTCCAGGCTGTTTAAACAAAGCGGCTGGGGCTGCAGATTTGTTGCAGAAAATAAGGTACTTCCTCCAGATCATCCAGTTTTTGAAGAGTATCATGAATTGAAAACGAAGATTGGTCTCAATTTATTTCATTTCTAAAAAAGCAATATTAATTGTGGCAGATGGTAATACTACAACTGCTACATTTTGGTGCCAATGCTTTTTTCTGTCTGACCCCTTGGGGGTTGATGTGGAAATTTATGCTTTAGAGCCTGCAGTTGTCTACAGTATCCAGTGGGAGGCAGAGTGGACTCGAGTTCAAATCAGATTCTCCCACAGCTAAGGCACAGAAAGTGGGCTGTTGGCATAGCAACGGCTCTAGAAACACAGACCATACATATGGGGGTTTGAGGTGTTGTGACAAGAGGTTGTTGGGAGTGGACGCAAGGGAAGGGTGTGTTTAGAGGGGTGCAGCAAACAGGCAAACACACTGAGAACAAAGAAGATAAGGTATAGGATATATGACAGGTACGGGTGAGAGCCTCGCAGACACACACATTCACATGAACAGACATATGGAGGCAGGCGGGGCCACTTTGGGTTTCACCGTCCTGTGATACTATCCTGTTTTGTTACCTGACCGAGGGCCAGCAGCTCGAAGAGAGGGGGAGGGGAGGGGGGGAAAGACACTCCACTTCTAGGCTGGAGAGAGACGCGAGAAAGAAAGCCCAACCCAGCCCCAGCTTTTTTTTTTTTTCCCCCAGACACTCAGACTCCCCACCCCTCTGCAAACATGTCACACTCAAACAAACACGCTCGCCTGAGACCGTGAAGTGAGGTATTTCAATGTCTATGCTCAATTTTATAGTCGCCCACTAGATCTATCATTCTTCAGGGGCCACATCATACTTCCCAGGATCATTCACAGTCAAAACCGCAGCAGTGAAGCACGGCGCTGCTTACATAACTTCATCATCCACATGAAACACATGTACGTTCACACTGGAGTCAGCCAGTCATCCCTGCTGCTTCACTTCTCAAGCTATGACCAAAGACTCTGCTGCAGCACATGAATGTGGATGTTTTCACTGTTGACTAATTACTTCCTACGTTCTGGAACTGGAAATGAGTCTAAAATAGCATCGTTTACTGAAATCCCATTTCAGGAAGAAGCAACAAGGGAGGTGCTAAATGTATCTGCTTCTTTCACTGAACTCCAAAAAGGAAATAGAAAACAACACCACAATTCAGTCAGTTCCAAACATGGATCTCTATAAATACTGTTACATGTCTATTTTATCTTTATTAGAAGCCATATTTTAGATGTATTTTAACACATTACTTCTTGGTTGGTTTGCAATTGCCCTGTTAACTATATCAAATAAAATACTGTAGATGGCAAACAGGATTCTTTTCGAATCCAAAGATGAGCATAATGCTGTAACGGTTCAGAGCCCCACCTCCCTTTATAGCCTCCCAATACTCTCTGCAATTTAGCAGTCATTCTTCCGAGCTCAACCAAAACAACTAACCTATCATCCCGGGGAATTTCAGCAACATGAAATCATCAAAACATTTTTCAAGTCCATTAAAACTCCAAACACGAGTCTACCAAATGTTGTGAATCCCGATTAAATTCAAAGATTGCCTCTGAGGTGGAGGCTGCTGCAGATGTGCCACCTGTTCTGAGGCAGGACACAGGAGTCCCAGGTTAATGCTCCTAATAGCTCCTCTCCCCAACCGCCATCCATCTATCTGTGTGTATGAGATGAGCATGTGTAGCAGCATGTACCTGCTGGCTAGAGTGCTGCCTCCAGCCCTGCATAACACAGGGATGTGCAGAATACAGTGAGCACTCCCTCCTACTACTCTCATGGAAGGAAGATGGATTTGCACTCTGAATTTTCTTTCATCCTCCCCTGACATATAGATGGATGGAAATATGAATGTGCTCCCCTCCTCCTCTTCATTTTGTGGTTCCTTTTTTTTCCCCCGCGTCAGTGTTATCTTCTTTCCCCCCTCTCTTAGCATGTAACTGAATGCATCTCAACATTCCCCTTGTGATGTGAGGATGAGCATGGTGGCTACAGGGCGCCAGAGCCTCAGGGGCAGTCTTAACCAGAGCCCCTGAAGACTCTGCTGATTAGTCGGGCCTGCAAAGCCCCTGTCACAGGAGGAGCACTGTGTCAGACTAGCAGAACATAGCATAATCAATTTACATGTGTTTGTCCAAACACACATACTGATTATATCATCTGGAAGCATTATGACAGCAGTTTTTTTTCTATTA